TTCTGAACTAGCCATGGTGAGGAGGTTAGCATCCATGTCTCCTGCAGGTCATTCTGCTAAACCTTCCTATAGTGATGGCAAACACAACACAGCACAGCACAGGGGACTCTGCCATTTCTGATGTGTCTCCTATTATTAACTCCTCTATGTGAAGCTCAGGCACAGAAGAAAGGGAGGAGATGAGCTCCTGTTGAAGTCCAAGGCCAGATGCAGTGCTTTGTCTTTATAACATGGATTTGTGAGGGAATATTTAACCCATTGTGCAATACTGCTGATTGTGACTGGCTCTGTGGCCACAATTCATTTACAAGTAAAACAATGTTTTTATGGTCTCTTATGTATGTTGGCATCTATAAAGGGATAGGAAACCTGTTTGGAAAGGTTATGCAACACATGAGGAAAATTCAAGTTCAAGGTTTAGCTACTTCTGGTTAACAACCACACACAAAGAATGTGAAGGTTTTAATAATTCTTCAGGGCTTTCCTTATGTGATTACCCAGCTCAAGGAAGGATGAGTTGGGTTGACCTGTTCTACTGGCCTTTACCTTGAGAATCAGAGGTTATTTAAAAGGAATCAGGGGTGTGAGGAAGAGTGAAGAGGACAGCCCTCCTGAGGCCAGACGATTGTTACCATACTGAGTGGGGTGTACATTCTAGGCAGAGTTGGTAACTACCACAAATATTGGTGAACATGTTATCAGATGCACTCACTGCGTATCACAATTGTACAGATACATTTTCTAGTTCCCCAAAGCAAAGGGTATCACAGAGGTATTTATCTGCCTCATGAGAGAAGTGGTTTTTTTTTTTTTTTGGTTTGTTTGTTTTTTAATCATGTACATAGAGTTATTTAAAAATTCCTGATACAATCTTGTAGAACTTGAAGCAAAATGAAGAAACTTTGGCTCATAAACCTGGCAAATACTTCCTTCAAATGCTACAGAGAAGTTCAATAGGACTATTTTCAAATTATTTGTGAGTCATAAGCGTGGTAGAGTTTCAAAGGAATTAATACATTGATTTATGATGTGGCTAATTTTCCATTTAAGGGTAGTAGATCATAATGAATACAAATATATTTCAAATATTTCCTAAATGTCAATTAAGAGCCTACCTTTTTTCTAGGTGCTATAGATACAAAGGTAGAGTTGGTGCATCTGTTCATGGAGGTTCATGTTCATCCTAGTTGAAGGATGTAAATGGCATAATACAGGATTCTCAGTTATCTCCCCTTCAAAATTATCATCTCAAAAGATGTCACCCATGGCACTTTCTGCAACTCCTTTCATTTTATACATCCTAATTAATTTGACGTATCTACAGTCCTGTTATATGGAAGAGAAATAATCTTCATGAGGCAAGAAAAGTAAATTAAACATCTCTTAATAAAGAGTCTGCTACATTTCACAGGCAGGCCAAACTCCTCTTTTACATTCCTATCGCATTCTTGAACTTCTCTACCCTTAATTATTAGCAATACGCACTTCATCGCAGCTTTAAGAGAGCCAACAAAGTCGGTTTTATATAATTGTAAAAATCCCAGAAGTATGACATGGAAAAAATCCAGAATTCATAAGATGATTTATTACAGCTCTGTGGTTTTGTAAATGTGGAAAATGAAATCCCAGAGGGTTCCAAGGTCATGGTTAGCTAGTGATCAAGGTTATAGGATGAAGACCCCTATGGTCTTATCCCGTGCCCCAGGTTTCTCTTTGGTTTCCCATCAGTGGATGCGATAAGGGAACTCAAACAAACTTTTCCAATTCAGATACTTTGTGTACCAAAAATAAATTACACAGGACATGCCTCTAAGGAAGAGTCATACTGTTTTTAAAAATATTTTGGTGCCCCTCTGTGTATCCATGTGGGTCTTTAAATTCATAAACATATAATTCTCTGGCATCAAATAGATCTATCTTTCAAGAATGTTTTCATTTACAATAAGAATTTTCTAAAATATTTTATTGATAACATTAGCACAAAGCCCAGCTTCACTTAACAAACCAACTTTAATTTTATCCTAACCAGATAGAAGTTGAGAAATACGATGAGAGTAATAATCTCAACAACTCTGTTCAACTGCCTTGGGATGTGCCAAGCCCTGTGGGGTGTTCCAGGCATTCTTGTTTAATCCTGTGAGGTAGACGTCATCATTTTATTTCCAAGGGGACAGGCTTGAGGTTTCATCCTGGAATTTCACTTCTTGGAACTTTTCTTATCCAAGATTGTAGCACAGTTGAGACATTACAGACTCAGAAATTGAATCTCCACCTGGTGCAAATAAAAAGTCTGCATCAATACGTGATCATACGACCATCCCCAATTTTGAATTCCAAAAGCTTATTTGCTGTTTAGTTGTTTTATTAGATACATGTACACAATGAGAAATGGTACGAAGTCTATTGATCCATACAGTAGCCTAGGTCATATAGTTTGGCATATTGCATTTTTACAAATCTTAGGAACCAAAGCATTTATGTCATTATTTTTAACTGAAATGAAAGTGGTAAAACTGGAACTATATGTGGCTGTCATTTTTTTTTAGCTCATCCCAGTCCTCTAATCACAATTCTGAACACTTTGTCCTCATCTCCAAGAGCCTGGCTTGCCATATGGTGAAAGGAGCTACATAAACTTACCCTACCCATGCTGACAGCCACACCACCACATGGCATGAGACGCTCCTCAGGACTCCTGTCCCACCACTGGACTAATCCATATGCTACTGTACAGGTTCCTAGCTTAATTGCCTGCTTGTCTTCTGTAATAGGCCCAGCCTATTTCTCAGACTTCCCCATTATTAGCTTCCAACTTAATTAAGGACCTGTGAAGCGCCCTTAAGGCATGACCCCAAGTTACTTGTTCTTTATAATTCTAATTCTAGAACAGCCAGCACTTTTAGAATCATTTCTATAAAGAACAACTTCTTTTTATTCTCTCTTAAAATTTTTTACCTGATGCATAATAACTGTACATATTCATGAAGTACAGCCAGATATTTGCATGCATGTGTACATTGTGTCATGATGGAATTACCATGATTAACATATTATCACCTTAAATTTTTATCATTCCTTTGTATTTAGAATACTCAAAGCCTTCTCTTCCAGCTATTTTGCATTATACAATAAATTATTAAGTAGAGTCATTCTACTGTGGTTGGGTGCCAGAATATAATCTTCCCTGACTGCATTTTGTACCTATTATTCAATCCTCTCTGTCCGCTTCTCCCCTTCACTTTCCATACCTGTAAATGTATGTGTTCATTTTCATGGAGTGCAAAGCCAATGCAGTCTGTTTCTTCCACTTGTGTGGACTATTTAACATATTTAATAAATGTGTGTATATATTTTTTTTTTCTTTCACATTTCTTCTATATGCAGGATTTTGTTAAGCAGACTACCAGAATTATTTGTTCACTGAGTAACAGTGAAGTTACAAGGAAGTGAGGTTGAGCTGTGGAAAACTTACAGTGTTAGGGTAGGCTGTTCTCTGCTGTAAGAGGAAGATACCTTTTGGCTTCATATTCATTTTTTTTTTTTTTAATGGGGAAGAAGGGCTACTGGGGATTGAACCCAATGGCAGTTTACCATTGAGCTACATCTCCATCCCTTTTGATTGTTTTGTTTTAAGACAGTGTCTCACTAATCTGATGAGAGCCTTGCTAAGTTATTGAGGCTGGCCTCGAATTTGCAGTCCTCTTGCCTCAGCCTTCCTATTTTATGTGATTGTAGTTATGTGCCACTGCACCCTGTTGGCTTCATTTTCTTAAGACTGTATTTTCTCTCTCAAACCATGCATGCCTATGTGTGTGCGTGCACACACACACACACACACACACACACACACATGATATTCCTTTGCTTTAATCACCTCACTGTGGACTTATTTTTAGAAAGTAAAATGAGTTCACAAACCAAGGTGAAACATAATGATTTAATTTGTGTAATGATGGAATTATCATGATTAACATAGTACCAACTTAAACTTTTATCATTCCTTTGTATTTAGAATATTCAAAACCCTCTCTTCCAGCTATTTTGCAGTATACAATAAATAAATAAAGTGTGTTGTATTTTGAGGGAATGTATGGAAGTTTATAAGTGATTTTGTGTCCCTCACATAATCAGAATTCTGTGACTGTAATTCGTATACATCAGAATAAACAGACTTTTCCAGGCCCCACTGTGGAACCTTCTGGGTGCAAGGCAGTGATGGATGGGTCTCACAGTCCAGTTGGGTTTTCTAAAACATCCATTGATGAATACAATAAGATCCATAAATGATTATGGAGAAGGCCCTACTGTGCACGTAGCATGCTGCCCAATGTTCAATAAATATGTGTATAATTGCAGATGACTACAGTGAGGCCACCTGACTTCATATGCTCTGCAGCATACATGACAATGGGTCTGAGGGTGGAAAATGAAAACGGCTGAGTTTTTCAGCTGATCACAATCAAATCAGAACACATCAAAACAGCTGGTGTTCTGTGACTCAGAATCAATCAACCAGTTTCGAATCACCTCGTCTTCCTTTATTTCTCTTTACAGTTTCACTGAGAGGTTTAAACCAGCATATGTCCTTCCCATTTGGTTAGATCCCTGCTCTGAGCCTCTTTGCTTTCACATTCTAATACTGAAACTGACTGCAGTATTAGAAAAAAAAAAAGAAGAAGAAGAAAAAGAAGAAAAGGCTAATATTAAAATGATTTCTAAAATGCTGCTACTGCTACATTTGTGTAAATTAAACCATATGCTCAAGTAAAATGCCCTAGAATAAACATGAAATTTTAAGGTCGCGTTTTGGAATGAAGATAATTCTGCATCAGCAATATTTATGTGACAGATATGGCAAGAGTTATAATAATTTTCTAAGCATCCAGTTAATATTTTAATATTCTACACATGATAATATCATGGGACTTCAATATTGAGTTAGTGAATGAAAGTTCAATGTCTCTTGGTTTTGACACAGACTCTTCTCTTTGTCCCGACAGGTACCTATTACACCATTCCTTGGCAAAGACTTTTCAGCAGCGGTGACCTCTTCCAATCCAACACTCTACAAATTATTATCTCTGGACTCCCAGCTGACACCCTGCCGGAGGCAAGAGCTCCTAAGCCAACTGGAACTGTGCCTCTTCTCTTGTCAAGGTTTTTTTCTTACACAGGAAAAAGAAAGAAAAAAAAAAAGATGAAGTTGGGTAAAGTGGAGTTCTGCCATTTCCTGCAGCTCATAGCTCTTTTCCTGTGTTTTTCTGGGATGAGTCAAGCAGAACTCTCAAGGTCAAGATCCAAACCCTACTTCCAATCAGGGCGCTCCAGGACCAAGCGCAGCTGGGTGTGGAATCAGTTCTTTGTGCTGGAAGAGTATATGGGTTCGGACCCTCTCTATGTAGGAAAGGTAGGGTATCTAACTTTCAAAATTTTAAAGGATTATTGTCAATGGCTATGGTTTGAGTAATAACTCCTAGTTTTTTGATTTTGGAAAGGCCAACACAAATCATTACTTTTATGAGACAGTTTATGAAATTTTGTTATTAGCAACTATGAGGTGTAATCAGGGTTATTAAGTTCAGTGAAGCCATAATTTAAGGTTTGATGCACTGTTCCTAAATACAGATGAGGAGTGCCAGAGGCCTGGTTTACCCTGAAGCTAAACTCATTGCCAATGTCAGAACAAGAACATTCAGTATTCAATGAAGAGCACTGTGTTCTTTTGCCAAGTGATTTTCTAGCTGCTTCTTTTGGGATACTGTGTAAATATTGCACATACTTGCATTAATGCTTCTATCGAATTCCTGGTACCTGCAGTTCAGAAACTGTAAAGTACCATGATCAAACCTAGTTACTCCAAATTATGAGCAACTCAAGGCCATTTTCATTAATAATCTTGTCTTCATGGTTCTAGGATTTTTTTCCCCCACAGCTTCCTTCCATCTTAATTTTAGGTAGGAGACTTTTCTTTGGGGACCTACTGAACTGGAAAGCCCTCCAAGAGAGCATGACCTTTCCCTAAGCATCCTCAGATCATAGTTCCCAGTCTTTTCAAGTTTGTCAAGATTTCTGAGTTTGATGTTTAGCACTGATGAAAGGCTTCTAAGTAGGGCATATCAGCAAGAAATCTATACCTCTGTGTTTCTACTCTTCACTTTGTCAGTTATATGATTCTGTTCCTCATAAAAGGAAGCACAGATGATGGATGAACTTTTCTATAAATCAATTTCTCAACTTTAAAAGATTGAGGAGGAATCTTGGTTATTTATTTTTTGGGTTATTTTCCACTTGTGTATACCTTAAGAAAGGGTTAAAATATTTTTATTGATGGTCATCCACAAAATTAAAGGTATTCCTTATTTTATGCGTGCGCGCGTGCGTGCGCACATACACACACACACACACACACACACACACACACAAATTTTTCTTGCAGTGCCTTTGTATTACCAATACTGATTGGTACACATTGTAAGCAGAAGGATTTAAATAGATTAATGGTTTCTAGGTTTGTGGATTAGGATTATTGAGGATCAGCAGTAACGTTTTCCTATGCTATGAAAGCATGTGTAAATGCACTTATCTTTTTTTTTTTGTATCCATTCTCCTTTATCAATGGCACTGTCATCTATATTGTATATGTGCTAAGTTTCCTCACTCTATTATCTTTTAACTCATTTTATTATTTAAAAGGAGAGAGAAGTTATAATGCCATGTGACTGACAAAGAATCCAGATCTTAATCTCATTCACTTTAATGGAATTTAACCAATTCATCAAGCTTTCGTCAATGGATAGATCTGAAATATTTAGCTCATTTATAAAGTGTCAGTAGCTATTAGGTGAATGAAGCCATGTTTTTTGACAACTTAAAAATTTTAAAACAGAAAAAGTATGTCCATTAATTTGGTCTAAATGGAGTTGTTTGGGCTAGGCCAACATTTAAAACTCAACACAATTTTTAAAATTTTAAAGTGTCTTTTTAAATTTTGCATTTATGCATAATAATTCAGAGTGTTTATATCCAAATAATATCTAGAAGCCAATTTAATAAACATCTTGGTTTAAGTTCCAAATGTACATGAAGTTATGGAGCAATTCATTTGTTATTTTTTAAAAAGAAATTGTATGATTCTTTAGTTAGGTAATCAGAGAAGATGCCTTAACAGATTTTTTTTTTATAAAGAGAGAGAGAGAGAGAGAGAGAGAGAAAATTTTTTTAATATTTATATTTATTTTTTCAGTTTTCGGTGGACACAACATCTTTATTTTATTTTATGTGGTGCTGAGGATCGAACCCAGCGCCCCTTGCATGCCAGGCGAGCACGTTACCACTTGAGACACATCCCCAGCCCAACCTTAACAGATTTTATCTGACAGAAAATTAGGATTGTGTTTATGCTTTGTATGGGGAGTTCAGTACTGCCATTCACAGTGAAATGTTTAGGATGGAAATGGGCAAAATAAAAACAATTTTCTTCATTGACTAAAATGCAGAAAAAGGGGAACAGAATAATTGGAGATGGAGAGAGCTTTTATAGACCAGTGAGACGAATACAGGGCCTTACAGTGACAGTTTCTATTTTCTTATGAAATGGTGACATAGAACTTGAGTACTTTAGAAGCGTTAACGCAAGTATGAGCAATACTTACACAGTATCCCAAAAGAAGAAGCTAAGAAAATAAAGGAGTTCTTTTGAGGTTGGTGGTCTGAATCATCAGAGGGACAGCTCTGATCACTTGTTTATATAAAATGGGTATGTTTCTGTTGTTTGTTTGGCTGAGGGAGGTGGTGGCTATGACCAGTGTTTATAGGACAGAAAACTAAGTATTGTAGATCAAGATGTGGAGCAGGAGCCAGGCAGAGCATCATGGAAACTAAAGAGGAAACCTAAGTGGTGCTTTCCACTGATGTACATTTAACCTAAGCTAATTAGATGGCTGCCCACTTGGTCATCCAGACAAGATCTATCTATTTAGGTGCTTTGGATGATGTTAGTACTAACTTTAATAAGACATATCAACTATATGTCTTATAGTTCAATTTGATGACATTACATATATTTACAATGTAAATTGAATTGATAAAGTGTTATTGCTGGCTCTGCCACTTCCTACTATTGTATAACTTTGCCTAAGTTGCCTAATATTACTGAATTTTAATTTCCTCAGTTCTAAAGTGAGGATGTTCATATCTACTATTCAGTTGTTACTTAATAACTGAAGTAAAATATGTGAAATATGCATCCAACTAATCTAGATATTATATTTTCTACTTTACTAAATATTGATTATAAATTAACAGTTACGGATAATTCAGTCTGTCATGTGTCAGTTGTTAAATGTGTGATCCCTTCAGTGAATGCAGGCATGATTTGAGGTATTAAGTAGCATTTGTACTTATTCCAGCTAATTAGAAGAATGGTCTGTTTTGGTTGTGCTAAGGAATGCAGTAATCAAGTGTTTATTTATTTGTGTATTTTTAGATCTTCAAATTTGGAGACAATTAATATTGTGGCAAACAAGATCAGATAAATGACTGTACAGTTAATAAAGCTGGGTCATTAAGGTATTGAGGTCAATGAGATCACAATATGCATTTTGAGTTTATTATTTTATCTAATGTCCTGAGTTGGCATGACACGTGATAACCCAAGCCCAAAGCAGAACAATCCATTGAATGGGGCCAGAAATACAAAGTGAGAACCAGCCTTGGCAGAGACTTATGGACTGAGTTAGACTCTATGATGTGATCTTTCCTTTAGCCTTCCACCCTTTCTTTCGCTATAGACTGGTAAACTGTTGACCCTAAATGTACAGACTACAGGAAAGAGTTTTACAAGTTCCCATTCAAACAGAATGATCAGCAGAGCCCCATTTGCTCAATTCTTAATGACTGTCTTGCTTGTTCTCCTGTTTTTACCTGGGGATAGGGAACCAAGGTGCCTCTTATCTGGCTGGGAGTGTGTCCATTGTCTCTGATCTGCTATTTGCAGTCCAAGAGGCCACAGTTTCCACCCACCTCATTGCATGAGTGTGCCCTTTCCCATCCTAGTCTTTCCCTCATCTTGGCATTTCTCACTTAGCGTCCCCTAAGCATCTGACACAACTATCTATCTCCAAAACCACCCAGCCTCTGTTCCAGGTATGAAGTAGTTTTCATCTTTGTTCACCATAATGGGCTTCCAGCCCATGGCTGCGCCCGAGGCCATTACTTTCACTGAGATGTGTGCTCTGTGCGTCTTCTGCAGTCTGCTTTCCTCCCCATTAATATCATTCTTGCCTTTTTTTTTCTATTTCCCTTTCTTCCCTACTCATTCAAGGAGAATTTATATCTATTACTACAGCAGAAATCAAATACACAGAAATGCAATGTTCAGGGTTTACTTTCTTTTAAATCGAAGCTTGCCTGAAAACGTTGGTGAGCGTTTTCAATGCATTTCATTACAAGCCAGCAGTATCTCTCACCAAGAGGTTCTCTATCTCCTGATATCTGAAGCTGTGTTCAGTGTTCCGGAAAAGAAATCTTCATCATGAAAATAGGCTGTGTTAAAAAATTGAATTACAGATTAGATTCCTTAGCTGGCAAATGTTATATTAGATGCTCAAAAAGAAAATAATAAATCCCAAGTATTAATTACTTAGGGAAAAACAAATTTGTTATAATAAAATCTACATTTTATGCATTCTGTTGGAAAACAAACAAACAAAATGAAACAAGTGTCCTGCAAATATGTGTATTGCCTATAGTCAGATCAGATCTGAAGAGGAGACAAAGCCAGGCTGTGTGTGCATGTGTGTTTAAGGAAAGTCTAGAAAACCCACACCCATAATATCTTTATAACTTGAGTTAATTTGCCAAGGTCCTTGTTCTTACCTTCTTGTTAGCTTGCTGATAGAAGTGTGGAACTCCTGGTGGTTTCAAAAGGAATTTGGACATGGATCAGCTCTGTGGGATGCAAATAAGTTCAGCTTTTTAGACATACTTTTTGGCAGTTATTTTTAGCTCTTAGAATAGTCCAGTGTAACTGTAAGATATTAAATGCATTTTCTCCAGCAAATAATTCAAGATTTTTGTTTTGTTTCCTTTATTTCCATATAGAAGATAGAATATGTCACATAGTACCTCTAAAATGAAAGAACCCATACTCATTTCAAGTTTAATATAGCTAAATACATTCAGTGTTATCTTAAATTACAAATAAAAATTATGAGTCCCAAAGACTTGATCAGAATGAGCCACATAGAGAATTTGGAGGAAGTGGGGAACTTAGAGTTATATGCCTAATTGTAGCCAAGCTAGATAGTTTAGATTAGGCTCTAAATTTCCAGTTGTATTTGTGTTGATAAAAGTCACTTAAAAACTACCCTTTTTCATGTCGATGCTAATATATATGCTCCAAAAATA